TTGGATCTGAAATTCATCCATCTCTCATGATAAACCAGAGGATCAATTGGTAATTCTTTATCCTTTCTTCGTCGCAGATGCTGAAACAGGTGTCTACTGGGACTGTTGATCCAACAGGTCGACAATGAATTTATAAATAGATCGGAGGTCGGAGAATTTCGTGTATAGAAAGTTGAGTCGAAGAAAGGTGAATGAAAATAGGTCGATATAAGTAGTACGAACAGATCCCGGGCTGTCAGTTCTCTATGTCGGAAATCGAACTACTAGATGTTGAATATAAAAGATTACAATCTAGCGGACTAACAAATAATGGTGTTGATATTTATTGAGTGAAGAGTCCCCTTCTGTACTGTCCCGTGTCGTCTATTTATAGTGAACGGTGTTGAGTTTAACTCGAGTTCAGCTGACCGTGGTTATCCCCTAGGTGTGGTCAGACCGTGGTTAGAGCTTCGGGATGGGCTTCTGGCAGCCCGTCGGGCTTCTGGCGATCTGGCAGCCCGTCGGGCTTCTGGCGATCTGGCAGCCCGTCGGGCTTCTCGCGAACTGTTCAGAATGTTGGGCCGAAGGTCCAGGCCCAACAGTAGCCCCCCCCGATCGACGAAATGAGGCAATCTGAGTTTTGTTGATTTTAGACCGTTCGATCTGATTCTGAGAAGTCGCGAGATCGCCACGTGTCGGAGTTTTGTTGGTTTTCGTTGCGGCCTTGTTTTCTTCGAGGCGTGGCTCTTCGTATTCCGCCCTGAGCCTATAAAAGCAGGACTCGGTCCCTGCCCTTCATTTTTATTCTGCTTCAACTGCTTCGCTCTCTTAAGGTATTTTTCGTTCTTCCTCTCTCTCTAGCTTCCCTCTGTTTGTACCTTTTTACTTCTCCGATCTACTCTCCGCCGTGGTTTTTGTCGCAACCGTTAGATAAAGCATCGTATAGATCTAGAATCTCTTCCATTGCGAGCATGGCTTCTTCAGCTTCCGATTCTCAGAATGAGCATCTCTCTGGTTCCGTTAGAACCGATCCGTCCTCCGCCGACAGCCCCATTGTTTCGACTCGCGGAGAGACTTCGTCGAATACCGACGAGAGGTCGGCAGGTGGAAACTCTCCGGTCGAAGATGACGCTGGATCTAGTTCTGTCGGTAATCCAGAGATCGGGACCCTGCGACCTGGAATTGCTAAATCTCGTCGGGCTCGGCGTCGACCTGTGGCTCGGCGAGTCTCCTCGAATCCTGATTCCTTCGGTCTCACAGCTGTCGATAGGCAAGTGCTGGAGCATCTGGGGCCGGGCTTGGGCCCCGGCATCGAGCTGAAGAGGAAAGATGATTTTGACACGGAAGTCGACCTGTCAATGCTTAAAAACGTCTGGTCTATCCGGGATCTTCCAAGGAAGGTTGATTTCCGTGTCCCCCGGAGCGGTGAACGTCCTTGGTCGCCCCCGGAAGGATATATGTGTCTTTATGTATCCTTCTTCGAGGAGAGCGGGTTGTTCTTTCCGCTTCCGCGACTGTTAATTGAGTACTGCGCTCGCCGCGGCCTGGCCATCTCTCAGCTAACCCATGGGTCCATCAGGAATTTCATGGCGTACCTGGTCTTGGCCATAGAGCGAGGCCTGGTTTGCGACTGCGACACTTTCGAAGGGCTAACTGCGCTGAAGCGGAGAGGTTCTTCAGGCCGCTACTACGTTTCGGCTAAGCCTAAGTACAACCGGCTGATTACGGGCTCTGACGCCGATAAGAGCGCGGACTGGGAGTGCTTCTATTTTTTTGTGAAAATAAATGCTGCTTCGGTAGAAAATCCCAAGTGGCCTATTCGTGCGGGCTGGAACGTTAATATAAGTACGTTTTTGCCGAAATGCTTTCTTTTTTCCTTGTTCGGGCTGACGCCTAATTTTTTTCTTCTTTGTTTGCAGACAGACCGCCGCCAAGAATACTCTACTCCGAGCAGCCTAGCGACAGATCCCTTGTGAAATTCATCGATAAGTTAGGTCCCCAGCTTTGGCCTGAATTCGTCGAACAGAGGATCCAGAGGTGTATCGGAAGAATCCTGACTGGTTAGTGTCTGCCTTGTTCTCTCCGATCTTGGATCTGTTTAACTTGTTCTGACTACTTCAATTCTTCTGCAGGTTGTTTCGATCTCGAGCTAGAACCTCTTCGTCCCTTTACGCACCCTCCGGTTGTTCCGAAAGCGAAGACTCTCAAAAGAACAGCCGAGCAGATGGGAAAGAAAGCGAAGGCAGTTTGGAGGAGAGTGGATTACAACGAGGCCGCATTGGATGAAGCGGTCAGAGCTTCTAAGGAGAAGCAGGTCGCCCCATCTGGGCAGACCGCAAAGCGAAAGCAGGTCACTCCTGCTGTTGAGGTCGCTCCGACCGAAAAGCCCACTGCTACTGAAAAAGCTGGGTAATCTTCGGCCAAGGTTGGTGCGAGGAAACAGAAGAACGTAGCCTCTACGGTTAGAGGAACCGGTCCTCCGGGAAGGGGGATCCCTGCCGGGGATCAGTCCGGACAGACCCCGGCTCCCAGGCGCTCTGAGGCCGCGCCCGGCAAAACGGTTGTTGCTGCTGCTGAGGAGCCTACCAAAAGGGCTCAAGAGAAGAGGCCGCTGGAGGATGTTCCAGAGAGGCAAAGTAAAAAAGCTCGGGCTGATAACCGAGAAAGTTCTCAGACTATTCCCGAGGCTACCTCGGGTGCTGCCTCTCCAACGGACTCCAGGGATTACAGGCTCGAGCTGGAGTTCACCGCGCCCGGGCACCTGATACATAATACCAGGGCGTGCGCCGACCTGTGCTCCCGATTCCCCTGCGATGAAGTCTTCGAGTTCCCTAAGCCGGAGGAGTTGGAGGAATTTGAAGCATACCGAGAAGTCTGCGGGGCTTCGGTGACGGTAAGCATCATTGACTTGCTAATCATTCTTGCCCTTTTCTTGGAGTTTTTCTTCTCTCCCCTTTTTTTTGTGTTCGTTAACCCTTAGCGTCCTGGTTACTTTTTGTAGCTGATGACCTACACGAACTCTTTGGTCCTTCAGTACGAGCGTAAGCTTTTCAAAGTGTCGAAGCAGCTTACGGCGTACGAGTCGCAACTCAAGGAGCAAGAGTCGATGAAGGAGGAGTTCGACTCGATGAAGAAGGAGCTCGAGTCCGTAAGGGCTGAAGCAGAGAGGGTTCCCGTTCTGAGGTCCAGGGTCGCCAACCTCAGCAAGACGGTGGCGGACTCGACTAAGGTCATTGAGGACCTTAGGTCTTAGAAAAGGGATGCCGAGGAGCAGCTGGAATTGGCGGCTGCCAAAAGGGACTCTCTTCAGGCCGAGGTCGATCGTCTTCGTAAGTCTCGGTCATCAGTCGTCAAGAGCACCATGGAGGAGTGCAACAGGAGGCTGTCAGGAATCAAGAGGTCGATCGCTGACTCCTCGGAGGTCGCTCGGCTCTCCGCGCTGATGAGTCAGTCGCAGGCCATCAAGGGCTACCTGATCGAGATGGGGAAGGCGGAAGGTATCACCATCTCTGAAGAGCGGCTAAAGGTCCTTGATGAAAACTTTGAGAAGTTCAGGGACCAGCTTGAAGCCTT